GTTGTAAATTTTGGTGGGGTGGTCACCCTTTCCATAACTTCTCCTCGGATCTCCGTGGGCTCGGGCATAGTGTTAGGCTCACTGATTACTAACACAGGGTCGGTCTTTCCCCGTTCATAGAAAGGCTTAAGCATGTTAATGTGACAAATCTGCGTCGACTTCCTGCGATCAGGGGTTCTTACGACGTAGTTGAGGTCACCGGCCTTCCTGACCACTTCATACGGGCCATGGAATCGAGCTTTGAGAGGATGTCCGGGCAAGGGTAATAACACTAGTACTTTATCCCCGACACTGAAATTTCGTTCGACTGTGTCTCGGTCGTATCGATCTTTCATTTTATGCTGAACCGACCGGAGGTTCTCGCGGGCCAGTTCACATGCTTCTGCTAGTCGGGTTCGGAAACGTGAAACATATTCCAGCAAATTTTCTGTTACTGGGTCTTCCCGCAACAAACCTTCCCTCAGTACCTTTAAACGACCGCGGACTGAATGCCCAAATATTAATTCAAATGGGCTGAACCCCAACGATTCCTGTACGGATTCGCGAGCGGCGAACATTAGGAATGGGATACCTTCGTCCCAATCGTGTTGGTGGTCCAGGCAATATGTTCTCATCATGCTCTTCAAGGTGGAGTGGAACCTCTCCAAGGCACCTTGGGACTGGGGGGTGATAGGCGCTTGACTTAATGGATTTTATACCCAAACTTCTCGTAACTTGTTGAAACACCCCTGACATGAAGTTGGATCCCTGGTCTGACTGTATCACCCTGGGTAAGCCGACCATGGTGAAAAAAAAAAGCTAACAAGGGCCTTTACTATTTTCCTGGCGGATAGATTTCTCATGGGTATCGCTTCGGGAAACCTGGTCGAGGCGCACATGATCGTTAGCAGGTATTGGTTCCCTAACTTAGTTTTGGGTAACGGACCAACACAGTCTACGATAATGCGACAAAATGGCTCCTCGAAGGCAGGAATGGGATGTAGGGGTGCGATGGGGATTTTCTGGTTCGGCTTCCTACAACCTGGCAGATGTGGCAAGTCCGGCAATGCTCAGACACGTCCTTCGGATACCCGGCCAGTAAAAGTATCTGACGATCTTATCGTGCGTCTTGTTAACGCCAAGGTGACCCCCAATGGGATCTCATGAGCTGTCCTCATGACCTCCGGTCTGTACCGTTTAGGGAGTACTATTTGGTGGACTGTCGACCAGTCTTCTGAGGCGGAGATGTGGGGGTCTCCACTTCCTCATTAGTACCTCATTCTTAATAAAGTATCCAGTTGGAACTTTCTCCAACTCATCCTCGGGCAATACGTGACGGAAGAGTGGGGTGAGCTCAGAATCACTCACCTGCTCTGTTATAAGTGCTCTCCTCGATAATGGAATGTCCATAGCGGGCTCAACAATACCATCGCTATTTCCAGTTGGGTTACTATCAGGAGGATAATTTAATCCCACATCAGGATTTATAAACGTCTGCGATAGGTCTATCACTTCGTCCTCTGTCCTATCGATTATCTCGTTTGTCTTTTCATCGGCCTTCTTTCTGGCCTGTGCTCTGGTCACTGCACACGAGGGAAATATATCGAGATTCTCTTCCTCGATATCTTCGGTGTCTACCCAAGCAACCGGTTCGAAACTACTTTAGGGTGGGGTATCACCCTACCACCCGCCAATTCGTTTCCCTAACAGCATGGATATGCCTTTCATAGGCAAACTAGGAACTACTCCGACCTCGACAGGGCCAGAAACTAACCCAGACGTGAGGTGGATTCGATGAAGGGGAACGCTAACAAAGTTGCTGTTAACACCCTGTATGATAACAAATTCGCCAGTGGCCGAATCCGATCCACACGGCACGAAGCTCTCCACAATCAGGGACTGAGTGGCCCCAGTGTCCGCAAGATCTTCACGGATTTCTTCTTCGTGGGGTTATCAACGGGGATACAGCACCATTAGACACAAATGGCCTATACTCCTCCCTCACATCTTCATTCGGTTTCCTATTTAGGGTAACGCTGTCGGAAGAAATTAGCCCTTGGGGTCTCTCTTGACTTAGGGCTCTGGACTCGGCATTCCGCTTCGTCCAACAATTCGACACGAGGTGTCCTACTTTATTGCAGTAGTGGCACATCGGGAGTTTCCTCTCTCTCCTATTCGTCTGCCGATAAACCAGTGACGGAGAACTAGGATTTTGAGATTTGGTATCTCTCGGACTGGGTAGTTGGCCTGAACTAACCGATCGACCAAACTTCGAATTCGGATCAGAACCAGATCCACGTCTTGGGTGTGGACCGCTTCCAAATTCGGATGGGTTGTTATGATTGAACGTACCCCGCTTATGTGTTAACGCGTATTCGTCAGCGAGGGTGGCCATCTCATATAAAGTATCTACCCTTTTTTCATCGAGGTAGGTTTTCAAATTATCAGGTACACATTCTTTGAACTCCTCTATCAGTATCATTTGCCTTAGCCTATCGTGATCTGACTCGATGTTTTTCGATAAACTCCATCTATCGAAATAGGTTTCTTTTTGTCTAGAGAATTCTACATAAGTCTGTTTGTCTCCCTTTCGGCAGGCTCTAAATTTTTGCCGGTATGCCTCCGGCACAAGCTCATACGACTTTAAAATGGCCGATTTCACAATGCTATATTCAGCGCAATCTGCTACTGAGAGCGCGGCATACGCTTCTTGAGCTTTGCCTTTTAGTGCGGTCTGCAGTAAAATTGGCCACGTTTCTATGGGCCATGCTAGGTTTGAGGCGACCTTTTCGAAATGCTGAAAATATTTGTCGACGTCAGCCTCGTTAAACTGCGGTACGAGTCGGACTTGCTTCGCTAAGTCGAACTCACTACTTCTAGCTTCGTGAAGTTCCCGCTTTTCGTCTAACTCCCGAAATCTAGTTTCTTGCTCGATTCTAGCTTTTGCTATTTCAGCCTTTGCTCTTTCAGCTTCGGCTCTGACCTTAGCCTCGGCCTCAATTTTCACTTTCTCGAGCTCGAGTTGTGCCTGCGAAAGTTCCGACGTGTCTAGTGATAATTTACTTAATTCTTCTACGTCGAAAACGTCGTTATCTACCATATGCTCACAGACTATCCTGACTAGCTGAGTTTTTCTCATAGACTTCGTTGCCTCTAGTTCTAATTCCTTCCCTATTTCAACTATATCATCCTTCTTAAGCTTACATAATTTTTTCCATAGAGGGCGATGCGAGAAAACTATCTATAACCGACATCTTGGCCTGTAGTTCGCCGACACCCTGAAGTTGTGCGATTCTTACGGAGTGAAAAAAACAGGGAGAAAAGATTCTCGGAACGAGCCCCCAATTTTATATGTTACGAACTTGTAACATATAGATGAACCACAGGTTCTAAAAAAAAGGAAAACGTGGTTTTTTTTTCTCGGTCTTCACTCAGAAATGGAAGCGACACAAGGGAATCAACGAAGAACAGACACAAGACGATGGCTTTCAAAATTAAACATTTATTTATAAATATATATATAACGAAACAAAGAAAGAAAAAAAAAAGAACATTCATTTAACAAAGGGGGAGGACATCAGTAAAGAATAGAAGGCGCGAGCGAATACATACATATATGAAAATAGATCGAGCCAAAAGAACCAACTTATCTTGCAGTCGGGCTGGTATCTTCACAAAGTTTTGATTCGCCGAGGCGAGAGTTCTGATGATAAATCAGTATCTTGGCCGGCCGACAATGTTCCTGGATTCTTCTTCTTTTCGCAAGTGTTCGTGGGTCCCCAGCATTTCATACAGGCATTTCGTTGGGTTGATCAGTCAATAGCAGCCTTTCAATCACTGGTCGATAGACTTCGTGGTCTTCCTCATCTCAGTGGGCGGTCTGACGATTTTTGCCCAGCGATGTTCAACTGCCGCTGGTCAGAGGGAAACTGAAAAATCCTTCTTTGGTTTTCGCTGTCCCCACAGACAGTCACGTGGGTTCCCTTCGTCCTTGACCGGGTACGCAGGAGAATAGGGCGCAAATCACGCAGTGTTTGTGTGATGGCCAAAAGTTCAACGCATGCTCCGTACGTCCCGATCACGTGAATCGCAGCATGAGACCCTGATGGTGTCTGGAGTTTACTCATGGTCAAACGCGAAATCTTAGAACCAGGTCATCCTCGCGTCGGGTCACTTCTAAGTTCACGGGCCCTTGGCTGGCGGGTGGAAGAGAGGATAGGAGAGAAAGAATTTGTGAAGAGAAGAGGGGGGTATGGCTGATCATAGAATATATTCGCTCGCGAATCGGAAGCATTGGATTAAATTTCTGTTTTTATCTATTTATTTATCTTTCTTTTATATCACACTAATTTTCTCTTTATTTAAGATTTTACTTTAGCCTAACGCCTATATGGTTAATGAAATCGTTGCTACGTGACAATATATATATATATATATATATATATATATATATATATATATATTGGATCACTTACCTGATTTATATCATATTCAGCACATTTACTCCAGAATTTCGGAGGATTCTTTCTGCAATTGTTTCGTCCACTCGTCAGGAAATGTTTGTCATTTTTCTTGTTTTCGTTATTTTTATATTATGTCAAAAATTAGGTGTTTTTTATTGGGTTGTTTTTTCTTCTTTGTGTATACGTGCGTCTTTGTGCGCGCGCGTGTGTGTGTGTATGTGTGTGGATGTGTAGGATATCGTGATTATTTCTTCATTTCATAATTATATCTTCTTTTCATATACTTACATATATAACTGTGTGTGTATGTGTGTGAGGGAGTGAGTGTGTGCATGTGAATGTGTGTAAATCTGTGGGGTGGTGGGTCTATTTTCACCCGTGTGTATGTGCATAAACCTGGTTGGAAAATCGCGTGAAATTGACAGTCACCATGAAGTGTTGATTTTCAAGGAAAATTCAATTTCTTTCTTCTTCTTTTTTTCGTTTACATCGTTTTTTGTTATTTTTTTTTTTTTTTCAAAATTTTTTTTTTTTTTCTCTTTCATTTATCTTTGCCACATCATGTTGAAACACCAGTTAGCGTATGATCACGGAATTTAAGCAACGTCGGACCTGGTCAGTACCTAGATGGGTGACTGCTTGGGAATACCAGGTGCTGTAGGCCTAGATGTGCAAGTGGATAATGATTCAGGAATTGTTAATCAGGTGAGCCGAGTTCGAATTCCAGTCCGGTTCATTATATTCACTTACACACAAATGCCCCCCCGGGGAAAGGGCATGAATCCATCTCTTCTCACAAGTATGAGTTAGTAAGATTTGTATCAATAAATCCTTGTTATCTCAAAAAAATTTCTTAAAATCTAAAAATATTTTCTGGCTTTAAATAACCTGCAAAGCATTGATAAGCCATAGAAAACGAATAAATTAATCAATCATTTATAGTATTTATTTTTGATTATTTTTTTTTATTCTTTCTTTTCTTTCATTTTTTCTCTTTTCTATTCTTTCTCTTTTCTTTTGTTTCTCTTTTTTTTAATTTTCTCTTTTTTTTCCTTTCTATTTCTTCTTTTCTTTTATTTGCCTTTTTTTCTTTATTCCACTCTGTTCTTTTTCCTACTTCAGTATTTCCATACTTTAATATATTTGTAAAATCTCGAATGTCCTAAACTAATATCTTGGTTGTTTTCTTTTGTCTATCAATGGTATTTTCAAATGACGACTGTTACCGTAGGCCATGAAAAAGTTTCAAATTCTATTTTTTACCACCGATGTCTCCTCATTTCAATCTTCTCCATTTTGAACCAAATACAAGAACAATGGTTGTTGATCCCTGTCAACTGATGATTGGATTTATGACCGTTCGACAATGGCAAATGAAATTTCACAAAAATCATGCCTTGTTTTCCTAAATCTTGTCTAAAATAAGATCATCCAGCGCAACTAGATTAAAAAAAGAAGATTGCGTTACGCCAAAATTCCAAATTAAGCAAGTATTGTGTACCTTGAAGATCAATATACAAACTCATTACTTTTACGCTGACTCGAATAGTTCTTAATGTGACCACAAAGCGGATTTTTCTTAATTATTTTATACAGTCATAAGTGCATTTATGTTTGAATTCGGTCAGTTTAATCATTTTATCAATACGGGATTGACATATATACCCAGCTTAATATGCGTACATCTATGTAAATATTTATGATGAATTTTCCAAAAGGTAAAGCTACCGTATTGTTTGGACATACATTGTTTTTACAATAATATTCACCCTGTACAAGGCCTACTTGAGGTAGAGAGTTACATAAGGAAAATCTTTAGAAGGAAACAGAAACTCAGTCCAAAACAGGAAACAGGAGAAAACCTCTACTGCTGTTCAAAAGACCAGGAATGAATGTGAACTGGGCGTTGGTGAACCTATCTACTCCTACTGAGAAAAAGAAAAATTAATTCAATGGTAAATAAAAGTTCAGAGTCTTAGGTGGAGACGTTAGAAGTATATATATATATATATATATATATATATATATATATATATATATATATATATATATATATATATATATAGTTTTAAGGTCGGGGATAGAGCGTATGTAAATATAAAAGTGCAAATTGAAGTCAACAACCAGAGGCAACAGTCTGTTTCCTTTATTTATTTATTTATTTACGGGATGTGTTTTGAGCATTTTTGTGCTTAGAAACAAATATAGCAACTTTTAAAGTATCAGATTAAATTTTTGTTCAACCAAAATCTTCCAAATACGATTGTATTCATTTTTTTTCTTTTTTTTTTCAATTCTGTCTTCAAAATAAAGTTGTATCTTGTACACCTGTGCGTTTTAAATACTGAAAAATACGGTAGTTAAACGATATTTTGTCTAATTTTTTAGTTGTGTACACTAATGGTATTTACCGAGATGTCACTACCAACTGTTTAAAAGCTTGTCCATAAAAAGACCATTAATTGAAGAAGGTGGAAAAGCTCGTATTTCCGCTTAAACATAACGACATATGACAGCATCTCTTTTCCAAATTGTCTTCATGTTTATTAGTAAATCGTCAAAGAATTATATACAGAGATTTAGTATGGACTGTATATTGGTTATGGAAATATCTGTTTTAAAAAAAAACATCCGGAATCAAAAAATTAACTCGGCTTTGAACTCTCTGTTCTTAGCTTAGTAGGAAAATGGGTCGTGAAAAATTTTATCATGTCAATGAAATTGGAATGTTATCATCAATAAGAAATATAACAATTCCGTTATCTACAAAGCAAGCCTTCGAATCTGTACATTAAGAAGAACGATAGTGAAAATTTGCACAGTTTGATAAGGTCGGAAATCAACACTCTAGATTGATCTCAAATAAATTAAAATCCTCTTCCAACCAAACAGATTTGAACAGCGTCACGTTTCTTCGACATTAGTGTACCAGGAAAATAATTATGAAGACGTATATTAATGGGATTATGCAAAAGGAATTCCGAATAAAAGTAAAGTTTGAAGTCGCATCGCTTAATATTGGTTTATCTGCTGCCATGACGTGAGCACTTTACTTTTGAAGATTAACAATTTATTTTTGTGTATGAAGCCATCGTGCTCAAGGTTAGAGAAATTGAAGAGACTGGAGACAAAACTAAGCTTACAAATGAATTGGTGTGTGTTTTTAAGTGTGTACAACACAATATAAAAGTAAAAAAAAAGCAAGCAAATTTATATGCATTTATATACTAGATGATGTATATATCACACACACACACACATATATATATATATATATATATATATATATATATGTGTGTGTGTGTGTGTGTGCGCGCGCGTGTATATGTATCAAGAACAATATTGGGGAAAGCATATAACAAAGTGGAAAAGTTATCTTGTGACACGTTCCGTCCTTTAGAACTTCATCGGAGTAAATGTGTTATGTTGGTAGAACTACACATACGCACATCAGATTATTTACACGGAGGAGAAATACGTCGAAGCACTTCCAAATTACACCTGTGCACGAACGTAGGATGCTGGGAATTTAATTTTTTTATTTTGTCTTTTAATCTAGCCGATTTCATTTAGATTCTTTTTCTTTTTCTTTCTATCACTTTTGTTAGTAGATATTCTTCACTGGGATAATAGAAGTTTAACAGGAATTATGAAAATTAAGAGCCAGGGCACAAATTTATTGTAGATTTACATTTATATACGCATCGAGTTATAACAAATAATGTAACCCAATTCAAGATAAGGAATAATATTATTGCAAGTAGAGTCTCTCATACTAAAAGCTTTTTTATGGTTACAGACCTTTTTTGTTTCGTTAATCTACTCAACTACGTTCGAAAGTTCGAAAAAGCAAGCACAGCGTCCGTTCGTCTCAAAATTACGACTGCTACTGTCTTTTCTACGGCTAACAAAAACCTCTGAATTACTTCTGCTAATCATTTGCGTTCTTATTGCTGATTGGTCATTGTTCTGTTGATTCAACACTCGAGTATTCAATCAACAGGCACCAAATATGCTTTGATCCCTCATAGAATTTCCTCTTGTCCCCTGTTTTAGAACCATTCACGAGAACAGAGATACATCAAATTTATTGACAACAATGACTGCAGCGGGATTATTTCATTGGAAGATCGATAGACGAGTAAAGTGAAGACAAATTCTAAGACACATCACACACGCTTCCGAAATGGTGTCTGTTTGCCAGAATCATCTAAGTAAATACTTTGTAACCCCAGTATCAACACTTTCCTTAAAGATCAGAACGGTTTACAGCATTCAGGGTTTCAATTGAAAATTCTGATGTCCTGAAGTTTTATTGTCCCATAACAATTCCTGTTTGAAATCAACATCAAAAACAAAAGGACAAAAAAGAAGGTTTAAAGCCGATTTCACATTAACATTCTCGACCACTAAAAGTGTACAGGAAATCAAAGTCTTTAAATTGTTTCGATTGTTTCATGATATTAACAGTGAGTAAAGAAATCACGGCACAATAGCAACCTTCCTTGCATTGTTTTTTTTTTTATTGGTTAGTTTTTTTCTATTGTCTACTCATCGGGTAAGAAAATGTTTCTTTGTTTCATTACATTTTGGCTAGTGGAAATTTGGAAATGTAAAAAGACATTAACCTTTGCTTTTTTTTTCAAGGTAGAACAACAATGTTACAGCCTCAGAGCATCTTATTCAGTGACCAATCAATAATTTAGGAGGAGTCATTGTCTATAGGGTATATCTATCTCCCTTTCATAAAAGACGGCTGACAAAGAAGATTTAAGTAATTTTTTATTAAATCTTACTAGCGGAAAAAAAAGATTTAATAAAAAATTACTTAAATATTTCAATCCAAACAATATAATTCTTCTTTTGGAATATACTAAATGATTTAATCTAAGGTTAAAAATGTTACTTTATTTAACAGAGCTGTTTTTTTTTTTTTTCAAAACAAGTTGATATTTATTTAAAACTCTATCGAGATTTATTGTTCTTTTCATGTTTTTCCAACATTTTCCTAGAATAATTCTATCTATATCTAACTTTCTCTCTATTTGTCTGTCTCAACACACACACACACGCGCGCATATGCGCGCGTGTTTGTGTGTGTGTGTGTGTGTGTGTGTAAGAAAGATAAAAAAAAAACAATTATAAAAATAAGATTTTATTTATTTATTTAACACCGCTATTTTTCGAAATTGGTTCTTGTATATTTTAAACACTCCCGATATTTATTTATCTTTAAATTTTTTTTTTCAAAAGTAATACGTCAATGTGTCCTGAATTCGAATTAATTTTCTTGTTTTTGCTTAGTAAATTATTCACGTTCTTATATCGTAGAAATTGCAATTTCTCCACCATGAATAAATTGAAATTTCTCTCTCTTTATATTTATACCAAAAATATAAAGAGGAACAGCGAAAGGAGTTTAAATCTAGGCTTTTAGAATTTAAGGGGTTTGGCAAAGAACCAAGTAATTTGTTTATTAATGACTTATTTTTTATTTGGGACGAGTACTCACTAGTTTTACCTTTTCTTTTGTCTCCGGTAGTTAGATGAAAATGAAATGCAAAGACGCAATAGTTGCAAATGATGAAACTCAGAAAACGCAAACAAAAACGTCCTTTTACAATGGTTTATGAATGTCGAAAAGACTCAGACATTGGGCAATT